TTTCAACTGAACAAGTAAATCTTCAACCACATTTTCTGTCAGAGTTCAGTAGATTGCCCAGATCATTAGATGTGTTAGAATTTTGGAAGGTGACTGAAATTTAAATTATGATGTACCTAATATACTTAGTAGTCACTCGGCGTTAATCATAAAAAAAGTAACTTATTAATTTGAAAAAAAAGTAACGAGTTAATTAACTTAATGTTTTAATTTATGTAGTTTTAACTTTCAACTCGTTAAGACCCAGGTTTTATTATAATACTAATAATCTGTGATAATAGGTACCAATAAGATTTTAAGTGATCTAACATAGGTAACTGAGTCATTGACTTCCTGTAATTTTTTTATTTGTTTTTTGAACTGTTTAATTAGGTAGGTATTTTGGTTCATGACAGTTTGTGCAATTTTGTCATCATTTGTTTTTACAATTTCAAAAAATTATAAATATTGTACGACAAAAACTTCTTAAAAAGGAGAAAGAACATTTCTTTGGTTTTACTTTCCTTTTAAGCCTGTCACTGAAAATATAAAAGTTTGTATTCCTAAATATTATGTTAAATTGAAAAAATATAATAGGTATAGCACTAGGTACACAGTATGTATTTACTGACTAAGGAAAAATTATTCTGAATTAATTTTAATTGTATAGACTGATTCAATCTTGAATCACAGAAACAACAAGTTTTGGTTACAGCAGGGCATGCCCAGAAATTTATTTTATTCCAACGAAAAATTGTTTTCATTATGTTCATATTTAAATTAGAATTTTTCATTGATATTCATATTAACCCAAATCATTTTAAAATTATACCTATATATTTCCATTAAGAACGAAAATGGGAGTAGACTGTCTCATTGACCATTGTATCCTAGCTATAATCCTATCACCATATTTATGTATACAATATAATTGTACCACTTACCAGTCACATGTGACATGTACATCAACATAATGTATTAACTTGAGGTTGATATTTATTGTTGAGGAAATATTTTCAAGGATCAATCGATAATTCATGACCCAGTCGCACAGCAATTGTTTGCTAAGTACATTTCTTACAGTGTCATTGTATAATAAATATCATATTATAATAATTATATTGTACTCAACAAGGTTATCATAAAATATATTTTTTAAATTGAACCATAATTTTTACTTTATTCAATGTTTTAAATTAAGTACATATCTTTCGTCTTAAATTTTAAATACTTATGGACTTAACTAAACTAAATTTGATATAACTACATATTTTTTGTTCAAAATAAAATAAGGTATAATGCACAAATTGTTACTCGTGAAAAATGCATATTTATATTTGGCCTATTACATCAAAAAAGTTTCTGACCTCTGGTTTAAAATATAAAATATTGAATAATAATTTTTTTTATAAAAACTCATTTCATTAAAAAAAAAAAAAATGTTCTTTTCAATACAGTTCATTTTCCATATTATTACATTTACTATTCATCTTTGCTTTGTATTTTACTGGAAATCAGTTTACAAAGGTAACTGCTTAACCACCTATTAATTATTATCCATATTTTAATGTTTTATTTTGTTGCTTTCATTAACATTCAATCTAATGTTGTGATAAAAGATTTTGATAAACATTAATAATTTTAATATCTTAAAGTCTCAGAATGAAAAGGTTCTAACGTAATTTTTGTAATGGTTCAAGGGAACTTTTTTAAGTTAGCCCATACCTATAATTCACATATGAATTAGAACCTTTTCATTTTCTGTACCACATTGAATAATCAACGGATAGTTACAATTTCAGGATTGAATTATAAAACCAAAAATATTAAATATTAATATGCAAAAAAACCATTCTTCAAAAAAATTGATTTAGAACCTTTTCTTTCTGAGACGACGCTATCAATTTTATATCATAATTACCTCAAGTCAAAAGTTAACAAAACTGTAATTTAACAAGTTAGAATTAATAAAATATCAACTTTAATCATATACAAAGAAGCTTATTATTTAAAATTTTCTTAACTAATATTTAGATTTTAATCTTATAAATAACATCACACAAATTCAAAAGTGGTTACATATGCTTAATCTTCCCACCTAATTACTAATGATTTATAACTAAATACAGGATAATAACAAAGTTAACAATTATAGGCCTAATTTAGATTTAAAAATTGGCTGTTTTCAATATTTCCCATATTTGGTAGTAAAAAAAAAAATTTTACACTGTACGTCTTATAGTGCAATCATCAATAAATTATTTAAAAACAAAATCTTTGAATTTCGATTAGACCAAAAATTATTTAATTAATCATGTCTTTCTGTTACTCTGTACAAATTATAAAATATTTTATAAGAAAAAATAAGTTTTTTGTCAAAAAATTTACATTTAATACTATGATTAAGATAACTTCGTAGGGGATGCCATTGCATCAGGCACGGATCCAGAGCAAATATCTTGAGGGGGGGGGGCAACAATTTTTTTACAACACAAATACAATTATAATAAAATATTATACTTTATTCTTAATTTAAAAATGTTGTTATAATAGTAGGTTTAAGTAATCAATGTGATAAATAAATTATTGATTATTTAATATATATATAAAGATATATAATATTTTTTATATTAATTAAAAATATGTCTGGGGGGGGGGGGGGTTAGGCCACCCCTATGAATCTGTCCTTACATGGCATACACAACATCCAAACGTTCGCACACCTTTGCCAGTGACCATACAGATAACAACAAAACCAAACTGTTAACTTTCATTCATGAAATACCTACCAATTATTGCTTTCATTTATTAATAATCAATTACTATTAATTTCATCCATTCATTAAAGTATTGTACTTTTGTCAAACAGAAAATATTTTCAAATTTTATTTAATTTATTATCATTTCATTTAAGAAATGCAATAAATCACTAATTAAAAATGAAATATTAAAAATGAAAAAAAAAAAAAAATGATTTGCTTGTGTAATCTGTTACAAATAAAAGGAAAACATTTCTCAATACCAATTCAGTGTTGGTAAATTACTTTTAAAATGTTCTTGAGTTACTTCACTTGTTACTAAGAGATTTACTTTACTTTTAAAATAAAAAGGTAGCTACGAAACTTCCTCGTTACAAAAAAAAAAAAACAAAAACTATTGTTTTTTTTAATTTCTTAGCAATTTATTGTCATTCTACAAGCAACATAACTAGAAATATATTATAGTTAAAAGTATAATAATTGGAAAAAAATATACAAAAAAAAGTTATGAACAAAAAATATTAAACATGAATACAGGATACAGACATACGGCTGGCGACGGATGGACCGACACAGAATTTGTAATGAGTTATTACAAATAATTATTATTATACAAATTATTACTAATAACAATTAACAGCTCTCAATTGTGTTATTAAATATTATATATATATTTTAATCTAGAACTTATACAATCTATATTAAAAAAATAAGTACAATAAGCATAATGTATGTTTTTTTTTTTATAAATTAAGTGTAATGGATGAGTGTCTTGAGGGAAGAAACCATCTAGTGAAGGTACTTTGGAAATATTAAATTTAAAATAAAATCATAATAATTGTTTATAAACAAGAACTTACAAAAATAAAAAGTTTTTTATAAAGAGGCAAATGCCTATAGTGATTTACAATGATGCAATGAAAATATTTTGATTTATAATTTATCAGTAGGTACATATTATAATATATACCTACCAGAAAAGTTACATTATTCTCTAATGTGAATTTTAATTATTATAGTATTTACTATTAAGTATTATAATTTATAAAATATTGAATATCTTTTGTTTAGCTCTTGTTCTGAATTCTTTAGAATACCTATTATAAATAAATAACATTAATAAATAACAAATTGTAAATTGTAAATAGCCATACATAGATACTGAATTTATATGTATTTAAGACTAAGAGCTAAGTGTTAATAGTGTTTTCGTATACTTAAGACCCCCATAAGATACATATTTTATAATATTATTGTTATTTTTCAATTCACAATAGGTATTAAGCAAGTAAAGCCTGTAACGCATTATACCATAGAAATTACTAATCAAAAGTAATTTCCGTTACATTTCTGTTACTTGAAAATAATGCTGATGAAATTACGTAAATCATTACAAACAAAGTAACGCCGTTACAATAACACTGAATACCATGTATTACTAGTAGGTAATTACTACATTTAGGCTACTACTAGTCTTCAGAGTTTAGTAAACAAAGTTAATGTTATTCTTAAATGGTAAAAACTAAAAACAAAATAAATATTTACTTAACAGTCATACTCATACAATATGAATCAAGAAAAATAAATCATTATTGTATAACCCTTGATAAATACTAAATTCCTAAGTTCATAAAAATTAAAAAGCAAATGATATGGTTTGAATATGAGTTCATTACAGTCATATATTTTAATATATTTTAAAATATACAAATTTGAAAATACAGTGAAACCCCGATAACTCAAACATCTATAAGTTGAATTTTCGATAACTCGAAGGAATATCTTTATCCCTGTATTTCAATGAGTTCACACATATTTTCTATAACGCAAATTTTTTTTCCGCCCCCAACCGATTTGAGCTATTGAGGTTTCAATTTAACTGTATATTTGAATTAGGTATATATTTTTTATTATATTTATATTATATTATTATAATAATGTTTTATTCAGTCTGTAAATTAATAGAAACATATTGAAAAACCAATAGGTAGTTTAGTAATTTAGTGTAAAGGTACACAATACTTACAACTATAAAATTAATTTTCAAAACTATCAACCAGACACCTTTGGCTTAACAAAAAAAAACTTGTGTAGATAATTAACTAGGAAACTCAACTTAACAATAAATAAGTAAATAAAGGTTTGTAAAGAAGCATATTATAACTGTTTAGTAAAATATATTAAGTATAATTTAATTAAAAAATGTTCAATTTTAAACAAAATTATACTCGCCTTGATGATGTTTTATTAAAAATGTTATGGTTATTTTGATTTTCCACCACTAGCACTCACAAATGAAAGGTATATATTCCAAGCTAATGACACTACTTGTACAGCTAAAACCCTGTATTGTTGTGGTACAATAATGAAATTAAATGTTTGTACAGCTGGCCAAATCTATAAATAAAAATTGTAAGATAAGATATTATCTTATAATATAAAAAAAAGTTTGTGTTCACTTTTTTACCAAATAACTAGTGAGCATAACTTTCACAAAGTCGTCTTCTAGCTTATTTTGAATTTGTGGCCATTTATCACCATTAAACACTCTACTCATAATTAATACAGCTCCATTAATAATTGGCGATGCAATCAATTGGTCGACTGATATTTTCTTAGTAATGATTGGTATTGTGTTTTTAGTTCCCAATCTGTCCAATGATGTGTACCACATACTAAGTGTTGGTCCAACGGCACACCCAATAGATGCAAAGCGCACCATACGTAACCAATCAATGTCATCAGGTTTACGCTTTTCAACTGTACTTTGAGCTATTAAATCACCAAGACCAAACATAAAACCTAACATAATAATAAATGATTAACATTTTATAATATTATTTATATATTTTTTACAGGTTACATCTTACATACCTGTCTGAACAAGATTGGTTCGTATTGGATATGTGTGGCTGCAATATCTGTACCATTTAAAAAATGCCATTTTAAATGTTTGATCTAGGCTATGGTTTATATTTTACCAAGACAAAGACAATTTAGATGCTATTTGTTTTCTAAGTATAATGTTTGGTCCTATCTGCTTACAATTTTAATGGCCTATATATATTAAAGTTAAACGTTGATAGTTTTCCAATATTTGTTTTAGTTTATTCATAAGTAAGTACCTAATACTGAATAGATTATTACCACATGTCACCGCCAATTCTGTTTACTGCCACCAATACTGGTTAAATTTACTACTAATTAAAATTCACTATGTTGTTAATTTCATTCAAACCATTACTGTTATTGGCATTGCAACCTGTTACTTGTTAGTATTATCAAAATACTCTGGTATACGCTGGTACTAGTCAATAACTTTAAAAGGTTAGTTGTTGTAAATTGTGGGATTGGGGAACTGGTCCCCAAATTTCATGGAGGAAAATAAATAACGCAACCCAGCCAACCGCCAAATGAATTCAAATTTTTAATTTAGAATTTAGTATTCCTAAATGCATGGTCTTGAAATACAAAATCAATTATGTATTTAATAGTTACCACATTTTTAAATTTTATTGTAGTGTTTTGTAACGGTCTTTAAATGGTTTTTTTCAGATTTCCACCACCCACTAAACTAAATACATGGAATGCGTATTATCATTGATTATACATAGTATAGATTGCTCACTGGTCGTGATTTTGCGTTGCGCTAAATTTTAGTTCCTTTATTGACAATAGATAGCGTTAATAGTCGTAATTAAAATAATAATTCGACCGGCGGTAGCTGCTGCGTTATTGCAGCCTGCAGGTCAATACAAATATTGGTAATTGGTATTTGGTATTGGTAGCGGTAAAATACTAAAGTGTAGCGGAATACAAATTACCAATGCCGCGGCGGCACCATCATGACAATATAATTTATCCGTATAATAAGATGAACTATAATAAAGTATGAGAGGGGGTAATTTAAACATTTATTATTATATTATTTGCATTCACGTTTGTCTATTAAACGTCTTCGGAGTTCGGGTTGTTAACGCCGATAAGGGATTCTAATTCAACGTTGCCAAATTTAACCATACACATGTTGTCATTTAATAGTAATAATAATATTTATTTTATATTTTTCATGACGTATGAATAATTATCATTGAGTAATGAGTAATAATTGTACCCACTTGGCCACCTACATACCTACCTACATTTTTTTGTATGTATTTTAAAAAGTACTCAACCGATTTTAGTCTAGTTTTCAGTTTTTACTCATGGGTTGGCCTAGGTCTTGGGGAAGATTCGAATGTGTAATATGCCTTAAAAAAATATTTGAATGCCGAAAATAATAAAAATATAAATAATGAAATGCTGTTTGTTGTTAATAGCATCACTTGAGAACGGCGGGATCGATCGGGCTCATTTTTTTTAAACCTTCGGAATAGTTTGAATAAGGTTTTAAAGAAAGACAAATTGGAATAGTTTCCCTGAAAATTAAAAAAATCTGGGAAAACTGAAAGTGCTTTATTGACTGTCTAGTTGACCAACGTAGAGCTTCTTAAACTATGATATTATAACTTTCGCTATTTTTAGCCATGAGATATTTTCGATTTTTATTAATTTTTTTTTAAAGTGAGTCATGAGTACCTTTTAAAATATGTACAAAGCTGTATAAAAAAAAGCCTGTTCTTTTATATATCTATATAAGGATAATTATAAGAAATAAAAGTGTTGAATTATGTAATTATATATTAACTGCCAAGTGCAAACACATTCCCATTGACTATTTGGCCCTTGCGACTTGTCTCACGTGGATGACTGGATAGGTATAATTGCCATCGAGACTGCCTTAGTGCCATATTTAAGAAACATAAAGTCTTAATAAATACACACGTGTCTTTTATACAGTGTACAATACTACAAAGTAGGAACTCAGGAAGTACAATGCGAGTATGCGACTCGTACATTTTTTTTGAAATATATATACCTACGTATATTATGTTACTATATATATAACCTAATCCTAAATTCAATTTAGACATTACAACTTTGTAATAAGTTTATTTATAAATAAATATAATATTTATTTTATAAGTATGTGAGTATATTAGATCATTGATTATAAATTATAGTATTATAGTATATTTTACTATTTATAATCAATGGTAAGACGTGTGTGTTATCGTATTCGTTCAACTGGTGTGTTGGAAATACCCAAAATAAATAACATTCATTGTCATATTAATCAAATTGCAATGGTGAATAGGGTCTACTGAGTAGATATTGTCAGTACTATCGCATTGTCGCTGCACGTCACTGTACATTTACACACTGCACACTAGCAAATCGCTCGTCAGTCGTCAGTGGTCAGGTACATTCTATATTCAAATCTCCAATTCTCAATTATACCTCTGCATAACGTTCTTCGATACAATTAATAATTCTGTACTATTGCTCTAGAAAAATGATTTAACCATTTTTTATTCAACGTAGTTTTTTTATTGATTATTTAGTCATAATGACATTATTGCAGTAGGTACTGCATTAGCTAAGTGGAAATCGTAATCCAAGGTTATGACTTATGTTATTATTTAATTCGCTTCACTATAAAAATTTTATATTTCAAGTTAATATTTTAAGTGTTTACGTAAAAAAACAAAGTTGCAATCATAATCAATTTTATCAAATAGGTAAGTTTAAAGTTTAAATTTGACGAATTTGACCATATTCAGGAGGTTTAATTAATAATCTTCGAATTTTTACTTGCTAATAGATGATTTAGAGACCTGTCACACACAAAAAAAAAGCAGCAGCCTGTTCCAACTGGTTGTGTTAATTAATCTGTTGTAAGTACCTACTCATCATAATAATTAACTATTAAATTGTAATGCATTCATGCAAAATAATTATGACATTTATATTTTAAAATTTAATTTATTACAGTGAATAAAAATATATACCTACAAACTTGGATTGATACTCAGTAATTTAAATTGTTTTGATTCTTAAGTAGATAAATTAAAAAATCTATTTTTACAGACTAATGATTATTATAATTAGGTAATTCTGCATTCAGCTTAAATAACAATAATTTTTAAAAAATAATTCCTGTTTTTTAGAAGAGTGTTTAACACTATAATATATTACTATGGCTGTCCATCGAGCGGGGACGAAAGGAAGATAGCACATGAGCTTTTTTCAATATTTCTAATAACTGAATTTGGGATACTTTTTGTTTTTAAAGTAAGTTTCTAATTATTGTAATATAGACACATCGTAGGTTTATAATCATTTTTATTTTATTTATTATTTATTCATTACATTACATTATTATTTATTACAAACCTTCGGGCTTTGGCTAACACGGAAATACAAAATATTAAATAAAACTATTATTCTGTTATTGTAGTTGACAATAATATTTTTCCAACCAAATATTTTCAATAAAAATAAAATATTTGAAATTAAAAACAAAAGTATTCAATACAAAGAAGTATTTAATACGTAAAACAGTATTTAAAATATCATTCAAAATACTTCATGCTGAAAGTATTTAAAAAGTTATTCAATACTTAAAAAAGTAATACTATATTATTACACATAATTTTACAGCATACCTATGCACTGAAGGGTAGGTAATAGTGGAATAAAGAGTAAATAAATAATTATTTTTTAATTTTTTTAAGTGAACATAATATATGGTGGTGTGGGGGAATGGGTTACTTTTCATGTAATGTCAGGTGGCAGCTACAGCCCCCCCAACATTTCAGCCCTAGTTGCGCCATTGAAAAACATTAAATGTATATTATTACATTTTATACTTAACGAATTTAATGTCAAATGTAATATATTTTACTACATTTTTAAAAAAGTAATTAGGCTGAATTTGGCATGGAATTGTAGCTATCTGCGGTTCACTGCAATGGTCAAATATAAAACTTGACTACAAAATTACACTTTAAAAACACGAAACTAGTAAAAAATATCGTTGGTATTGGAGTTGAATTTTGAATATGTGCGTGTTACGCACAAGAATTTTACTGTCTAATATGCTAAATTAATGATTTATTATTATTAATTTTTTAGAATGTATGTCATGTATTGATAATTTATATGAGTTTAAAGATTAGTTTATCTTTAGGGAGATGTGAGTAGTTTTGGGGTGGCCTAAGTCCTGCACCCCTTCCTATAGTTACGCTTATGTAAAACACTAAGTTTAAGTACTCTCTAGCAATAGTCTAAATTAATAATATTTACACCAGAAAAAATTGTAAAATGTGTATTTATCAACATTAAGTTATGGGTTATGCTATAATTGCTGCTGTACAACCTTAGAGTATAAATATACGTAAATTTGGCTATTTGGCCTTAGAGTTAAAGACTTCACTAAGATACCCATCGATTCTGTCTGTCATTAATTTATGATTAAAAAACTATCGTAATTTTGCAATCTGTAAGGTAATGCTTTGTTTATTAAGTATTTGTATAGTGGTTTTGTTGGTAGCTAGGTACCTTTCATTGTTTTTTACATTTTAAAATCTGAATTTTTACCAGCTGATTTTTTTTAGCATAATTTCATTACTTTAAACCATTTGGTGTTGGTGGCTGGGGTGCTAAAGTCAGTTGTGTTTTGAGACACCCCTTCCCCTCTAAGATAGTCTACAAATCAGCCTATTATATCGTATTCTGAATACGGTATTCAGCAGGCCAGATTCTATAAGTCATACAAATTTCAAGAAAGATTTTAGAAAAACATTACATTTTTACAAATTTGATCATAACGGAAGGCAGTTGTGGTACATTTTTAATTCATTTCATTATCCAACAGTATTGTTTTACTACACTTAATATCGTGACACGGTCGTCGGCCGAATACCGGAACACGTTTATTATTACCGTTATATTATAATAATAATATATATACAGTGTGTAAACGGTAATCGAGAACACTCAATATCTTTGCGTAGAGACCTGCTATTTGAATTCCGTTTTTTTGGCAGTTGTTATGACATA